AGGGACTTGGTTAGACTGGATGACAAGGTCTGAGTTGGACTGGACTCGTAGGCAGAGCTGTTGCTCTCTCCACTGTTGGAGCATGAGGGTCAAAGCCATCGACCTCCTGTTTGAGGATAGTGAGCTCATAGAGCAGCACTCTCAGAGTAGGACAGGGAACAAGTTCTTAAGTCTGCTGAACCTTATCATCGATCACCTAATACGGTGGCGAGGATAATGCATCACAGATGTGCGGCACACTAGCACAGGGGAGGCTAGTGTATATGGATGTAATGTCTGCTTTCTCTGTCTGCTTCTCTGATAATTTTGTGAAGACTTTCAAGGCAAGAACAGAACCTTTCTCATTTCTTCATTAGCATAAGGCCCACAACATAATGAGTACTAAATAAAGGCTGTTGAAGGACTCAACTACTATAAAACGAATGCTGAATAATAGAAATAAATGGTATTTTCTTTTCCTTCTAATAGAAAGGCAGGAGAATAAAGAAAATAAGGTTAAGTTATGACAAAACTTTGCAGCAAAGGATTAGTCATGTTTCCTTATAAAGTAAATTAAAGTATTCCTACTAAATCACACACATATATTATGAGTTTACATGAATGGAATGCTAATATATTTGATGGATATTGCTGTAGATATTATATAATCTTTTAGATCCACTGATATTAACTGACCACTCACTATATGGAACTAAATCATACATATATATTATGAGTTTACATAAATGGAATGCTAATATATTTTGCAAATATTGCTGCTGATACTGGATAATCTTTTATATCCACTGACATTAACTGACCACTCACTCTATGTGGCACATGCTTCTAAGTGCTGTATATAACTTGAATTATATACTATATCAACTCTGTGGTTAGTGCACTAGTGTTAGTCATTTTACAAGCACAGAAAGCAAAGTTTAAAGAAATGATGAACTATCATCAGGCAGGATTGAAGGACGATTCATTAACAACCTGTGATGTGCAGATGCTCCATCTTCCTGTAAGCGAGCAGGACTGGAAGCACTTACTGATGAAGATTAAAACAAAACA